GCTAGTAAAGCGACCAAAATGCTGGCTTGCATCCATAGATGCTTCTCAAGCAAATCCCGGGACGTCATTCTCCCCCTGTACTCGGCCTTAGTGAGGCCGGAGCTGGAGTACTGTGTCCAGTTTTGGGCTCCACAATTCAAAAAGGATGTGGAGAAGCTTGAGAGAGTCCAGAGAAGAGCCACGTGCATGATCAGAGGTCAGGGAAGCAGACCCTACGATGACAGGCTGAGAGCCCTGGGGCTCTTTAGCCTGAAAAAGCGCAGGCTCAGGGGTGATCTGATGGCCACCTACAAGTTTATCAAGGGTGACCACCAGCATCTGGGGGAACATTTGTTCACCAGAGCGCCCCAAGGGATGACGAGGTCGAATGGTCACAAACTACTTCAAGATCGTTTCAGGCTGGACATAAGGAAGAACTTCTTTACTGTCCGAGCCCCCAAGGTCTGGAACAGCCTGCCACCGGAGGTGGTTCAAGCGCCTTCATTGAACACCTTCAAGATGAAACTGGATGCTTACCTTGCTGGGATCCTATGACCCCAGCTGACTTCCTGCCCTTTGGGCGGGGGGCTGGACTCGATGATCTTCCGAGGTCCCTTCCAGCCCTGATGTCTATGAAATCTATGAAAAAAGTGAGCTAGTGATCAGCACCAACAAACTACACAAAAAGTGATTTAGGAGGATATCCTGTTTGTTTTATTATTGATCCTCATGCTACTATTTCAAGGTATGTTGGTTACCTTTAAGGAGACCAAATCAAAGAGGTTTTTTTTTTCTGTCTGAAAAAATTAAGAAATTGTTATTATACAAAAAACTAGAACTCTTGGTTCCAACATGATGCCTTTTATTAGACCGACTGGAAAATGGCAAGAAAATTGTCCTTTTCTGCAAGCTTTCGGGATCAAAGTCCCTTCGTCAGGCTCTGGGAAAAGTGTAGATGGTACAAGATGGTAAAAAGTCCCCATAGGTAGGAAATAAACTTCATTTTTGCACAGAGGGAGCTGAAAATGGAAGGCTGTCCCTCTGGGTCCATAAGAGTGAATCATCTTCAGCTCCCTCTGCAAAAATGAAGTTTATTTCCTACCTATGGGGACTTTTTACCATCTTGTACCATCTACTTTTCCCAGAGCCTGACAAAAGGACTTTGATCCCGAAAGCTTGCAGAAAAGGACAATTTTCTTGCCATTTTCCAGCTGGTCTAATCAAAGGTATCATGTTGGAACGAAGAGTTCTAGTTTTTTGTATGTCTTTTTGTCTCGGACCAACACAGCTACCAAGTACACCCCTGAAATTGTTACGGCTTTGTGCGTTGCTTATATTCTTACAAACCTCTACCCCTTGCTTCTCATCACCCAGTGATTTGAACAGATGGATCATTAAGAAAAGATAACATCTGTTCTTTGTGATCAATAGAATTTCTGTTTGTTCACAGGAAAATATAGTACTTGGTTCTGAGGATTGCAGTCTTCCCCAATGGGAAACAAAGTAGTCTGCTGTGGTTTTTGGAACTTGCAATCTCATAGTTTATAGATAAATGTCAGAGTTACCCTGATCAAGACACCACTCCATGAGTACTTCATGAGATAAAAGTTTGGTTTCAGAGGCTCTAATAAAAACAGAGTTTGAACCTGTGCAAGAAATCTTTTTTAATTTTGTGGCATAAAGTGATAGTTTTTATCACTGCTTTGTCAGCCTGCAGAACACTTAGGCAAATCAGGAGTTCTTTCTGTGGCACCAGAAGATACCTCTTCACACGCATAAATATGTATTGAGAGCTAAGATGAACTTTGGACATAAAATTCCAGATACCAAGAGATTGTAGTATTACTCCCTGCATTTTATCCAGATTATGCTGATAAAGAAGAGAAACCATGGCATAACTTGGATGTCTGATGGTTCATAAAAATCTCTCAAAATGTCAACAGGTACTTTGTGTTTTTCTAAACAATATAAAAGCACAGAAAAGCATCCTAGGATATCTTCAAGGTCCATACATCGTCAAGATAGTGTAGATGTGGATTTGCAGACATTAGCCAATATTGTATTGGACAAAAAGGAATCTGTTGCTTAAAAATAAGTGAACCATCTCTTTCTAACTTAGATATTGGTATGAAAGATATTCAGTCAGATTTATACTGCCTCTTGCCTCTAGGTTGGTCTTAACCTAATAATGAAAATTGCATTCTAAAAACTAGATTTGAATAATTATAGGGAAATTTTATCTGAGAGTTTTATTTCTTCAAGTCTCTAGTATGTCAGGCTGTTTTTCCCATATGCAAATCAACTTGATGGGTGATTCCATTGTGAATCTCTATGAAATAATTATGTTCTGCAGGTGGCTAAGTGTATCAATGTGCAAGTAAAATTTGAAAGTTTGTAATCTTGTCTAGTCTTGAAGAGTATACTCTCCAGAAAGGGCTGATTTTGGTCCCAAACCTGTAATATTGGGGTATGGACATGCATAACACTTAGGCAAGCTTAAACACAGCTTAAATTTGAAGCAAAAAGATGTACAAGCCTGTTAAACAGGCTTAAAGCTTCCTGGAACAATTAAAAATATATTTGGAAAATCAAGTGCTCTTTTGAATTGATTCACTGTGACCTGGGTCAATGTTACTTGTGGACACCAAGTTATTCCATGACACTGGTCTGTTTGGCCCTATAGGATCTCATGCTGCATTGCTCCTTACTCCTTTCCTCTGCTGTAACTGGCTGCTCGGGCACATGGTCAGAAGTATACTACCCCCATTTTTTTCTTTTTATTGGCACTGTTTGTCAACAAGTTACATTATGCTGCTTGATCAATAAAGGCAATCTTTCTAGGAACCAGCTGTCTGCCCGTCCTGCTCCACCATAATCCCTTATTATGCCCCCTTAGTTTCTGGGAACCCAGAAATGTGAGTCCAGGCACTCCTCTTCCCCACCCACCCCTCTTTGGGACCTCAAGTCAGGCAGGCACACTGCACAATTTGTTCAGGTGCAGGTTACTGATCTTTAATGAACTCATGTTTAGAAGAGAAGGGAAAGCAGAAAAGTAAAAAGGTCACCTACCCACTAGGCTCCCCAAAGTGTGGGTATGAGCACTTGCCCTTCCCTTACCAATTGCCCACTGTGAGACGTGTTGGGCTTGATACTCAATCCCATCCCAGTTTCAGAGCCACACCACTTAAGTGCTTAAAAGTTGACTTTTTTACCAGGAATGTTATGGCTCTGGTCACCTCGGACTCTTTAAAGTTGCTAGATCAGTCTCCAATCAATGGCATTTTGAAATGGTTCAGTTGTTGTATGTGTCCACACCTTAAAAAGTATTTGCTTCCTCAGAGTTACAGGAGCTCTAGGATACTAAAAGAAAAACATAATTTGACTAATTTAACATTTTCCTTTTAAATTTAGCTGGTGGAGAAACTATAAACAATTGTTCACTTGCACAGATACTTAGTAAAAACGTGCTTTTATTTTGTACAGTCATTTGTTGGAATATGGAGTTGGGTAAAATGTGAATTTTTGAGTGAATGCTACCTTAATTAACTTTCTCTGTCTCTATTTGCTGCATTGTCTGTGTTTATGTCAAAATCTTTAGGAACAAGGATCATTTATTTAGTTGCATCTGATCAGAACCCAAGGTTTCCATTTAACTAACAATTCTATTGCAAGTTTAAGCATTTGCAAGTCGGGAAATGTTAAAAAGTAAAGATGGCTGGGAAGTAGAGAGAGAACCATCTTTCTTTGCTAAATATAGAAAAAACTGTGGTGGTGGTGTCTGTTTGTGTGGCTTTCCCCTGTTTGTATTTACTATTAAAAATCTAGGTGTCCCTTCCTTTATATGTTTTTAAATGTTCCAGGAAAATGCATAGGATGGTACTGCGAGATGTACTATGTTATTCAGCTTAGGAGCACTGATTTCTATTTAGACAGTCTTTTAATACCCTCTTAACTCCAATGCCTGATATAATAGCAATGGACAAACTTGAATGAAATTTAACAAAGTAGTCTTTACTGTTTTATTAAGACTTCATAATAAACCTAAAATGTTGGGAAATGCAAACAGCTTTTAATATTTAACATTATCTCAAAGCACATTATTCTATGAGCTTTAAAAAGTGGACACTAAAACCCAAATGATAGTAGTATCATTAAAACTTTATTATAGTTTTAAATTCAAGGTCAACTACTCAACATCATGCAAATTTAAAAAGTCAGGAAATGCAGACAATAAGCACCTTGGAGTTTGTTGTACTCTTTACATGAGTTAAACTTTTATCGAAGGCATTCTGTATTAGAACATTGCAAAGAAAAATTTCAGTAAACTCAAGATTAACGTGATAACATCTTATTACTTGACACTGTATCTTGTGAACAAAACTATATAGCTATGTAATAATTTATTTGCCAATATTGTACCCTGAAATGGGGTGGTTCTAATAATGATATATTATAGTTATATCTGCGTACTTAAAAATGTAAGATCACTAGATGTCACTAGAATCACATTTTTAGTGAATTTTTAAGGAACTCCTAATATATTGTTTAATGGTCCACGACACTTCCATAATCATTTCTATATGGTTTGAAAAATAGTGGAATGATTAAATGATACTTCAGTGAGAATTAGTTAAAATTGTGTTTTAGTGTGACCTATGTTAGTAGCTAAAATATTCCCCCAGTTTCACTCAAAACGTTCACAAGTAGGCATGGATTGAATTTGGGCCCAGAAAGTTTTCAGCCCATGAGTTCTCAGATAACTTTCCAGTAGAGAAAATCAAAAGAAATATAGCTAGCTGGGGTGAACTAATAGATCTGGCAATATAAATCTACATGAGTAAAGCCCAGACATGGCCCATTTTCTTCATGCGCACTGGAGAGAGGAAAGCAGGAGATGGGGGTTGTGGACAGGGAAAATGTCTTTCTCTTAGCACAAAAAGCCAGCATACAGAAGCTAAAGGATTTCTGTGTTTTGTTTTATTTGCAGAACAAAACTAGTTCTTCCATGAGAAAATGATGCTGTGTTGTTGGTTGTAGCTGTGTTGGTCTAAGGCAGGGGTGGGCAAAATGCAACCTGGGGACTGGATGTGGCCCACCAGGCTATTCTATCTGGCTCGTGGGGCCCCTAAAAAATTTAGAAAATTAATATTTATCTGCCCTGGGCTGCCTGTCATGCGGCCCTCGATGGCTTGCCAAAACTCAGTAAGCGGCCCTTTGCCCAAAATAATTGCCCGCCCCTGGTCTAAAGACATAGGCAGGCAAGATTCTCTGAGTAGATGTGATATCTTTTATATATCTATATATTTTATAAAAGAACCCTACTGCCTGGGCCAGAACAGTATCCAGACTGTGCCAGGAGAGAGGACTGCCTGTCGATCATCAGGCTCCCCTAGCGGCAGGGGGACCCAAGGGGAAGCCCTGTAGCACCCCCTGGCTGAAGAGATCACCTTTGAGGTGTACGTAGCTCTTCAGCGAGCAGGCTAGAACATCTGTACATCCCAACCCCAATTTATTTATTTTTACTTGTTTCCTGGAAATTCTTAGTGCTAGAATTGAACGCTTTTCCCTAGCCTAAGTGAAGAATGATAAAAGCAAATACCAGGTTACCTCTCTTTCTCCATCTGCTTAGCTGCTAAGATGTCCTCCTCCTTTCAGTGCCTGCCCACAACATTCTGTGGACTCTGGCTTAAGAGCGCACTCTCAGTAAGGGGCCAGATTAGGTTTGCTGTTTGGTGAGAGATGAGGCCTTCAGTTTACAGAATTGTGGGCAAGGCCATAGCTGAGGGGCACGACTCATGCCAGGCAGCTTTTACACTGTTTGTTTCAGGGGGCTGGGAGGAGGAGAAGAAGGGAAATGACTTGTGGAGTCAAGTTTTCTGAACCTTCTACTTCCATTTTATTTCTAAGGACTGGCTTCCCATATTTATTTACAAATTATTGATGTTATAGGCTGTAACCATTAGTTCCAAGTCATTTTTTATTCTAGGTGTTTCTCTTGTCTTTAAGAGGTTTGACATGTTATGTATTTTACATATTCACAGCTTTTCTTGGGGGGGAATGTTAGTGCTCCATTTGCAGAGCTGAGGTAATGTAACGTTTTGTTTAACTGCTTACTGAATTTTTTTGTATAGATGCAGAGAAACTGGTGTACGGGTTGATGAATCTTTATTTCCTGCACTGTATGCCAGTGAAGGATTACCCCTACATATTAAAAAAGTGAGTACATAATTTATAATTGATTTAAGGTTAGTAAATACATCTCTGAACCATGAGCCTTATTTGTTTCAGTGTTACACTCGGGATTACTCTAGGAGTCTTTTGCTGATTTTTGTCTGGAGAAATACAAGATGAACCAAAGCAAATTCCTCTGAACTATACACAGGTTTATTGGGATATTACCGTTCAAGTACAATTACCAATGGAAGCCACATACAGTAGAGAATTTACAGTTATACTCACTACAAGGTTGTGAATTATCAGGTATCTCAGGACCTATCCTTGTAGTAAAGGCAAATTACTGGCTAGACTTCCAGATACTGTTACCCAGTTAATCACATCTTAAGTTGTTACCTAGCCACATTTTAATACAGTTAATGGTGTGATAAAACAAAAAACAAACCACAAAGTTATTACACAAAAAAATGTGTGGCTGGTTCCTATCAAGGCATTAACTGAACATGGGCTTAGACCACAGGGTGGGCTTGCATATCATGGCAGGAAGTGTGATCCTATCTAGCCTTTACTTGCAGGTCTGCCAGGGGCCTCAAAGTCTTATACTGCTCAGATCTTAGACTTTTCTGTGTTACTGCCCATTCCTCTGAGATAACTATCTGTTAGCCAATTTAACAGAAATCAGTAAATCTCTTGAGTCATGCCATGTCACCATTGTCTGTATCTAGGGTTGTATTTTTGGCATTGGTGTGGTCACTGGCCTGTTTATCTCAACTCACTTGAAACAGTACCTGATGCCTCTGGCCTCTCTGAGCTAGTCCTTGTGTTTCGGACTGAATCTGTTTTGGGGCACCTTATCTTTAAGGAGGAATATTGTGACACCCATCATCAAGGAGTTTGGGGGTTCTTCAGCAAAAGAAGCTTATAGTTCTGGAGCATCTTGCAAAGCTTACCTCTTTGACTTGGTCGTATTTGTGGGTCAGTTAGGTATCTTACAGTAGAGAATGTATAAGTGAGTGGAGAACGCATGCCTGAAAACACAGAGGCTTTGGGGAGATAGAGCGAGGATAACATTTTCAAAACTGCTGAGTGCTAAAGGGGTATAGGTTATAGCCGTGTTGGCCTAAGGACATAGGCAGACAAGGTTCTTTGGGTACATCCAATATCTTTTATTAGACCAACTGAAATAAGTAGAAACTCTCTTCTTTGCAAGCTTTTGGGTACAAATATCTTTTTTCAGGCTGAGGAAGCATCTGCAGCTGGTCTGTGCTTTTCCTGTTCCATCCAGGAAGACCCCAGATGAACTGCAGGTGCTTTCTCAGCCCGACGAAGGGTGTTTGTACCTGAAAGCTTGCAAAGAATTTTTCCAGCTATTTTAGTTGGTCTAATAAAAGATAGCAGATTTACCAAAATAACCTTGTCTATCTGAGTGCTAAATGGGATGTTACAGTGCAGAGTACAGTAAGTAATGTGTTTACCCATTTTGGCAAGTTAAAGTAGTCTATACAGAATTCAGTGGTGCCACAGGTAAATTGATTCCTGTACCTGAGCCTAGTTTCTTTAGATGGTGCATATCTCAACACTGTTCTGCAGTATAAAAATAGGCTCCAGTAGACGTTCCATTTATGACATAATTATCTTGTCTCTTGGTCCTGGCACCTGGGGAGCTTTCAAAATTCAGTATAAAATAATTGTAGCTCAAAATAAGATTAGGAGACAGGTTAAGTAATTAGGAGACAGGTTAAGTAACTTTTTTATTTGAAGTAAGGTTTATACTGTGGTTAATGTTTGTATTTTATGTAGCCTTATGTATTTTATAGCATAAATGTATGCAACCAAAAGATTTTATTGAAAAAACACCAGAAAATGATAGAAGACTGCAACGAAGATTAGATGAGATGGCAAAAGAACTAGATATACAAAAAAACACTTCAGGTGAGTTAAGTATTTGCCAGTTTATTTAAAAAAATAAAAAAACAACCACAACAGATGCCAAAAATCTTAGTCTCTTTTAATTTATAAGAACTCTGTAAGGTAGAATTTACTCTTACTTTAAGTATTTTAAACAGAAATTATTTTTAAGAGCTATTACAGTAGTCTTTCTTGATGAGAAATCAAGGGTGTATTGCATGTCTCTCTGAAATTCCATATCTTGGTGACTAAATTTTGCTTTTTGAAGGAGGGGATATTTTTTTGGAATTCAAAATTAAGTTTATGGCATTGTTGGGAACATCTTTGGGGAACAGTAATGTCTAAGTACCACATTTACTCAAATGCATGATGAGAGCTTTTTCCCCCCCATTTACCATTATGGGGGAGGGGGAAGCCCCTTATCTTGAACTTGAATACATGTCAGGGGAGGAGGGAGTAGGAGGCAGGTGGCTGCTGCGGCCTGGGTTTGGAGTTGAAACTGCAGGAGCCTCCTGACCCCTGTAACCTGCCCCCTCTGTCTGCCTCCTCCACCCCACATAACTTATCCTCTACCAATCCCTGGCCACCATCACTTATCCTCTGCCATGGCTTTGGCCCCAGTCCAGCCTAAGGCACAGGACACATGGTTACTTCAGCCCCATCCTGATGATGCAGCAGTGGTAGGAGCAGCTCCAGCCCCTGTTCCCACTCTGGGCCCTGACTGGAGTGTCCACTGCCACAACAGCTGCTGCATGGCCAGGCTTCACATACTTCATGCCCTGGGCTGGAGCAGCACCGGAGCCAAAGGGTCAGCTGTAGAAAGGAGGGGTGGGAATATAGGCATTTGGTGGGGTGGGGTGGGGAGCATCAGGGGATAAAGGCACCAGGGGCAGGCACCAGGACATGCTGGCATGTAGAGGGGAGGAGGGAGGCAGCAGTGGGGATAGGAGGCAAGGGCAGGAGCAAGCCGCTTGATTCCCTTGCTACCTGCCCCCTTGCAGTGATGTGGGGGGTGAATTTAAGATGATCCTCTAAAAGTTAGGTTCTGTACATGGAAAATTATGACAAATTTATAAATTTTGTGTGATTGGAATCTAATTATTGACGGGGGGGGGTCCTTGAGTTTGGAAGCATCTTTGATTTGGATAAATACACTTTGAAATCTGAACTTCCTGTAACTTAAAAATGTGTACTCTCTCCACATATGAAAGACTTGAAATTGCAATTTTCATGTTCATTTATTTTTTGAAACAGATATACCAGTTTTATTATTTGAGGATGATGGCTCGCTAGTGTATAGCCCTGTTAATAAATTAAAGGAGCAATGCAACGCGATGGAAAGGAGAATAAAAGACATGAAGGACAAAAGGGAAAATCTTTCCCCTACTGGTAAGAAGTTGAATTTGTATAGTTTGTGAAAAAGCAGAATTGGCTACCATCCTGGTTGAATTATGATCATTTCTTCTGCATACTTTGAAAGACCATATCTTCCATGTTCTGGTAGTTATAGAGTGATATAGTCATGATGGTCCAGGTATTATGTAAGAAGCAGGGAATATTTTTGGGTGATATCTTTTATTGAACCAACTGCATGGTTGGGATAAGGTTAGACAATGTTTCAAATTGAGAGCATTATTTATCAGGGACTTATTAACTAGTTACAGATCTTTGCAAAAATCCTGAGAAGTATTGTCCCCTTCTGAGAGTACGGAGTACTACTACTACTCTTTTCTCTTGCCCAGTAATCTTCCAAATACTAAGGGATATCCCCTTTCCACTGCCCACTCTTCCGCTTGAGAGAATAAACCCTTTCTTATATAGTCTGTCCTTTTCTGTTGCACATTTCATTTTGCACTTGGCCCTTTCCCTGGTCTGTATATCTGCATTGTATTTCAGAGATGGGTTGTAGGTAAAATAATTGGAGTTAGTGGCACTAGGTTGATTGGCTGAATGATTTTTCTTGATTGCTTCCCAGGCTTTCAGGGACAGTCCTTTTATGACAGGGACTGGCTGGATTCAGCCTGCCAGGCCATTCTATCCAGCTGGCAGGGCCCCTAAAAAATTTAGAAAATTAATATTTATCTCCCCATGGCTTCCTGCCAAAGATGACAAGGCACCAGGGGCAGTAGGACCCAGGGGGAACTGGCAGCAGGACCGAGCAGCTGCAGCAGCAAGGCCCACCCGGCCCCGCCCCTCCCACAGCTAGAAGCCTCTGACCTTGGGTCTGTTCCTGCCTTCCTCTGCTAGAGGGAAATTCAGATAAGGGATGGGCGGGGGAAACGGGAGGACCGTGAGTGATTGCCACAGTCCTCAGGGCTGCATCCGGGAGCCACGTGGTGTCAGAGTGGTGGGCAGAGAGTAGCAGCAGCAGTGGACAGGAAAGTGGGGAAATGGTGGGGGATTGGCAGTGAGCAGGCGCAGGCACACAGGTTCTGTATCAGTGCACCAAGGCCAGCACTGGTGTGGGCCCAGTGCAGGTCAGCAGAAGCGTGGCCCCCAGGCTGGCCAGCTTCCCCCTCTCCCTACTGGCACAGCCCAGCCTGGCTGCATAGAGCCTCTGCTGGTCTGAGCCCTGTACTCCTGCCGCCCCACTCTGGGTCCCTGCCTGTGCTGGCGCCAACTCTGTGCTCCTGC